AGGGGAGGTGGTGTTGGTTTTCTCTTCAACCCCAAAATGATATCGCCTGTACGCAATGATGTTACTAAATATTCATCTTTTGAAGTACTTGAATGTGTCATTAAAACTGCTGGTGAGATTATCAGGCTATGTGTAGTTTATCGCAGCACTCAGGCCAAAGCGAAATATGATGAAACAAAAATATCTAAGTTTATGGATGACTTTGATGGATACCTGGACAATCTTCTGCTTAAAACTGGATCTCCAATTATTTGTGGTGACTTTAATTTCCATGTTGAAGACCTGAACAATAATGTTGCCCAGAACTTTATTGCTCTTTGTGAGAGCAAAGGCTTCCTTCAGCATGTCGACTCTCCTACTCACATCTCCGGCGGGACACTGGACTTGTTATTTACTCTAGGCTGTGTAAGTGACTCATTGTCTGTAACAGATATGATGGTAGAGACAAGCACTGGAACCAGCTCTGATCACTATCTAGTAAGTTTTCAGGTCCCAGTCACATTCGATCTTCATAAAGCTCGTACATATGAAGAAAAAGATGTCAGAGAGCTAAGCAAAATTGACATCGATAAGTTCAGGGAAGATCTGTTTTGTTCAGAGCTTAACCTTTCTGAATATCAATCCTTAGACGAGACTGTGAACCTTTATCAAAATGTCCTTGAACAGGTGCTAGACAAACATGCCCCACTTATTACGAAACGATTTACTGCTGAAAAGTCTGATTTTTGGGATAATAAATGTCAAATTGCTGTCAGAGAGAGGAGAAGGGCAAAACGAAAAGCCAAAAAGTATCCAGAGAATGATGAGTTTAAAACTACTCATTTTGAAAAATGTGTTGACGCAGAAATCACTATCAATCGAGCTAGGGATGGCTACTATGATAAACAGCTCAGTTCTTGCAAAGGAGACTCGAAAGGGACCTATAAAGTCATAAATAAACTTTTAGATAAGGAATATGGCTCCAACAAATTGCCAAATGGTAAAGATATCGAAGTGGCTGCCAAACTCAAGACTTTCTTCGATCAAAAAGTAAAGACCATTTACTCTAATATTGAGAAGGAAATTCAAAACACTTCCCTAAACGGTCAAGGTACCAAGGACTCTACTTCGATAGATAATGCAAAGTGTAGACTTAATCAGTTTAAGGAAGTCTCATTATCAGACCTTGAAACCTTAATTAAGAGTCTTCCCAATAAATCAAGCGTACTCGATGTCATACCAATGTGGCTCTTCAAGAACTGCTTACCCGAGCTTCTCCCAATCATCCATTACATCGTGAATGAATCACTAAGAGTCGGAAAGTTTCCATCTGCCCTAAAAGAAGCATCTATTAGGCCTGGACTCAAGAAACCTACCTTAGATGTTGATGAGCTGAAAAACTATCGACCGATTAGCAATCTAACTTATCTGTCCAAAATACTAGAAAAAGTAGTTCATTGCCAATTAAATGAATATGCTGATGTCAACAACCTGTTTTCCCCATATCAATCAGGCTATAGAAAATTCCATAGTTGTGAAACTGCAGTTACCAAAATACATAATGATATTCTAATGATGATTGACAGCAAATCGAATGTTGTGCTTCTACTCTTAGATCTATCAGCTGCTTTCGACACCATAAACCATAACCTCCTTCTTACGAAACTCAAGAATGCGTATGGTATTACAGAACTAGCACTCAGCTGGTTACAATGTTACCTTAATAATCGCACATTCAAGGTTAAAGTAAAAAAAGCCACATCTTCTGAAGGCTATCTGGATATTGGTGTACCTCAAGGATCCATTTTAGGACCACTACTGTTCATATTGTATACCAGAGATCTTGAAGAAATTGTCACAAAATATGGTTTCTCGATACATTTGTATGCAGATGACACACAGGTGTACTTTACTTTTGATGTTCACAGTTCTAATCCTGATTTAACAGCTGTGAAAAATTGCTTTCTGGAGATAAAGCAATGGATGACAGTTAACTTCCTAAAACTGAATGATGAAAAAACAGAGTTCATTGATATAGGACCATATGTCAGCCCAATCCAGACAATGGATTTAGGAGACCTCTCAATCTGCCCTGTTAGCAAGGCCAAGAACCTGGGATTCCTTTTCGATCACCAAATGAATCTGGACTCTCAAATAAATGCTGTCTCCAAAGTATGTTATTTGAATCAAAGGGACTTAGCAAGAATCGGTTCGAAGCTTTCCCATGACCTAAAAGTTCAGCTAGTTCACTCCAATATCCTCTGTTTCATAGACTACTGCAACTCAGTCTATTATGGACTAACAGAAAAGAATCTTCATAAGCTACAAAAGATACAGAACAATGCTGCTAGATTTATCTTTGGTCTTTACGGAAAAAAGATACGTGAACCTATCATGCCTTACCTCAAAAAGCTCCACTTTCTGCCTGTTCGGTTCAGAATTAAGTTCAAAATATCACTTCTGGTCTTCAAGTGTCTTAATAACATAGCCCCTCAGTACTTACAAGGACACGTCAATCTAAGGGAAGTACGAAGACAAAGTTCCAGACTAGATGATGACTTTTATTTGTTGAAAGTTCCTCCTGCTCCTCATTTCAGACGAACAGATGCTGCATTTATGTTTTGTGGCCCAAAAATTTGGAATGAACTACCCTACTCAGTGAGATCATTATCATCTGTAGAATGTTTTAAAAATGCCCTAAAGACGTTTTATTTCCAACTAGCTTTTGATAATATTTCTAATATTTGTCCATAATGTCTGAACTGATATGAAAGTGCATAATTTTGGTAACTTCATACAAATATTTGTTCATAAAATCTGAACTGTTTAAAAAGTCCATAATCTTGCTATTTCAACACTAAGTCTCGCTTGAATGACTTTAATGTACATCTTTGTTGGGTATATTTTAATGTCGAAGCGTGTAATAAATGTTAGAATTTATTTATTTATTTATTTTAATTCAGAGATAAAGGAAGTATAGAAACCAATGCCCATTTTTCATCACATTGAAATTATACTTTTGGGGCAGGAAAAGTGAATTTCGTCACATTTCGGTAACTTAGTATAATCAAACTCAGAATTTTCAAACTTGAGTTCTGATGATCTGCTGAATAATAACCTACTAATAATTCCTGGAAGAATATCGAATTCTAATCGGGGTATCGTTCTTCAAAATAGGGTCAAGAACTGTAAATTTGGTTACATACGTCATTGTAAAATTTAGATACACTTACTTTCACATCAACAGTCCTAATTATAGTTTGAAATGATTAATTCAGAGATAAGGAAATATAGAAACCCGTGCCCATTTTTCATCACATTGAAATTATACTGTTGGGGCAGGAAAAGTGAATTTCGTCACATTTCGGTAACTTAGTAAAATTAAACTCAGAATTGTTAAAGTTGAGTTCTGATTTGCTGAATAATAACCTACTAATAATTCCTGGAAGAATATTGAATTCTAATCGAGGCATGTTTCTTCAAAATAGGGTCAAGAAATGTAAATTTCGTCACATCAGCCATTGCATTAGTTAGATAGATTTTCTTTCATATCAACTGCCCTTATTATTATTGTGACAATTTTTACATCAACTGCCCTTAACTTGAATCAGCTCTATCCGTGCATCGTCCTTATATACAGTTTTCCTGCCTTCCAAACCAAAATCAAATATAAATGATTTCGGCAATTAACCCAAAATTTTAAATTCCATATAATGTGACAGAATTTACATCATTTCCCAATAAGTGCATGTATTTCTTAACTTTTCAAAACAACATATTTTAGGGCTATGATTGGTAGAAGAACCATCAAATAATGAGTTGAAAGGGTTTTGAGGACACCTCACAGTAGAAAAGAGGTATCGGATTCTGAGTGTGACAAAGTTTACGAAATATTGCCTTAAAACCGTTCGATCCCTGCCCTTTAGCCAAATGTTGTATCATAATTGTTAGAATGACCTAATCTACTATATTTTAAACCAAAAAATGCTAATTGGGCAGCTATGGTTAACACAGTCACAAAAATGTGACATTTTTTACATCATAGTGCCTAAAAACAATAAATTTTATTTCTGAGCCGTGTATATTATGGAAGTATGGGTCACGTGGCTAATGTCCAGAACTTCTGAACACGATATTTTTTTTTGGTTTACCAATATCCTTAAACTTCAACATGAACGTGCCCATTTACGTTTTCGTATCATTTTGTGACGATGTTTACATCAACTGCCCTATACTTCAATCAACTGTATCCGTGTAACGTCCTCATATAGAGTTTTCCCGCCTTCCAAACCAAAATCAAATATAAATGATTTCGGAAATTCACCCAAAATTTCAAATTCCATATAATGTGACAGAATTTACATCATTTCCCAATAGCCAAGTGCATGTATTTGTTAACTTTTCAAAACAACATATTTTAGGGCTATGATTGGCAGAAGAATAATGAGTTGAAAGGGTTTTGAGGACACCTCACAGTAGAAAAGAGGTCTCGTATTCTGAGTGTGACAAAGTTTACGAAATGTTGCCTTAAAGCCGTTCGATCACTGCCCTTTAGGCCTACATTGTATCATAATTGTTAGATTGACCTAATATACTATATTTTAGACCAAAAAATGCTAATTGGGCAGCTATGGTAAACAATGTCACAAAAATGTGACATTTTTTACATAATAGTGCCTAAAAGCAATACATTTTATTTTTGAGCAGTGCATATGGGAGTATGGGTCACGTGGCTAATGTTCAGAACTTATGAACACGCTAGATTAATATATGTTAAAATTAAACCACTATCGTCAAAAACGCTGTTTTAGAAATTTACCAATTTCCTCAAACTTCAATGAACGTGTCCATATAATAACTATTAACTAACTTTAATACTTATCTTATATAAGTTAGTTATATAAGTATTAAAGATAATATAAAAGTTAGTTTTATATAAGTATTAAAGTTAATATAAAAGTAACGCAATCGGATAAGATGAGGGTTGGAATGTTGAAATGTTGAAATGGTGGAATGTAAACCTGGTAGTACCGGTACCCGACTCCAGCTGTTTCAGGGGTTATACGATGGAAGTAGAGTTTAAAGAATTCCCTCCAGACGTAGGGGAGTAGAGGGTGATCCATTGCTACAGATTGTAGGAGGGAACCCCATCTGGTACAGTAATGTTATTTATTAACTAATTAACTAATTAACTAGATAATTAATTAGCTGATTGAGTAGTTTTATTATTGATACCTTAGAGGTATGAATATTATATCAATTGTATACTGTATAGTGACTTAAGATTATTAAAGGCGGGGTGCAACACCTAACCCCGCCAATCCCGCTAATCCCGCCAAATCCCGCGTAATCCCGCCAAATCCCGCCTAATCCCGCGTAATCCCGCCAAATCCCGCGTAATCCCGCGTAATCCCGCCTAATTCCGCAAGTGCGGCGTTAGACGGAAATTGGCGGGGTTATGTGCTGCACCCCGCTTTATTAAACTGGTTACTAAGCTGGTTACTGAGCTGGTAACAAAATTTTTGGTAACTATGTAGTATGTACCTGTAGATAACAATATTTCCGATGGTAAGACTAGAAAGTTCCTCAAACTCTGCCAGAGCTCTTCTAAAAGCGATGTCAATCGTAACGTCAGGATGTGTGAATAACACCTGGGTTGTTGTATTGAAGATTATAAATAGAATTATTTTTCAGTCACCACTAAAAAAACCTTGTCAACTAGTTACAATATTTAGACGTGAGAGGTGATATGTTCTTTATTATTTGGAATAATCCAGAAGGAATTTAACTTAACTTAATCACTTAAGAACTACAAAAATATTGAAATTTACCCTTATCTGTTCTAGAATTGCCTGGAGTACTTATTAGTCTAAAGACTCACAACTTTCAACGCTACTAATAACTGATGATTTAATAAGTTACGTTGACACGTTATAAGACCATTAAACACTAATTAAGAAGTGCCCTTACTCTACGTCAACTTAATGATATTCCAGCAACTTCTGCTAAAAATCAGGACAGGTTTAATGCGACACTGAGAAAACATGCGAAACAAAATAGCGGGTACACAATTTCAAATTATAAATGTCACTCTGAACATATTTTGATCATGGTAAGAATCAAAATATTAACCTCAGTAAGAGTTTGGAAGAATCCGGAGTCTATCTGAGAAGCACATTCCATCTTAGTGACGTAGTAACTCCACCAGAATACCTCACCAGGAGAAGAGAGGGGTTGGAGGAGAGAGGAAACGTCTCCAACACTACTGAACCACGACACTAGGTTCGATAATATCTGGAAAAGGGTTTATGTTATTATTGCATGCCAGTCATATTAAAATGTTCATAAAAGTAAATTTAGTATTAAATTAGTAGTCACTTATTATTATTAAATTAGTAAATATCGCACAACGTTGTCATTGAACAAGGACAACGTTGTCGTCGAACAAGGACAACGTTGTACGATATTTACTCGAAAAACAAAAACTTGACACTGAAAATGCTTCATGGACCGCAAAGAATTTTGTTCTTTACAGCCTGTTAACAAAATACAAAAAAATGATAACAGCTCTAAGAATTCGAGTCTAGTTAAACGTAGTAAAAAAAACTGCAATTGAGCATTTAGTGATTTAGCAGTCACTGCCACACTTCTAGCGGGTTTACTACAAGTTCCTAAAGTAGAACACAAATACACTGTTCAAATAATTGTGACCTGGATGGAGACACTCATTAGCCCCGAGTTTGACTGAGGATGAACACCGTTATCAGTGGTTATATAGTGGTTATAGTGGGTATATAAACCACTGACTGTGTCCATACATTGTTAAAATATAGACTAATCCAGTCAATAAAACAGAAAACATCATGAGCATTGATCATATAATACGTGGTATACAGTAAACCAGTCCTCAATATCTCGTACAGCTCCATGGATAGTGGATACAGACAACAGATCATATCTCCATAACGTCCTAAACACAGAAGATGGAATATCTACATAACATTACTAAGTACTGAGTAGTAATATAAGTAGTTAGTAGATATTACTATCTACATATTACTGAGTGCTGACCTTGCTAGAGTTACGTTTAGAAGCCTCCACACACTTGTTAAGATACTCCCTCAACTCCTCCACCAAGAAGGCCTCGTCACCATGGTAATAGAACACCACACTACACACTTTGTCTAGTACAGACACCTGTTGGAGATGTAACAGTTAACTGTATGTGATGTGTGTTTACTTTATCATGTTTACTTTATTATGTTTATAACGTGGTGGTGTTATTAGTTGAATTCAGAACAATATAACTATCCGTGGGTTATTAAATTAAAACAAAACATTTCAATTAATTAAAACAAAACATTTCAAGTATTTAATCGAAATCTTAGAGGATAATATTTGGTCCCGATCCTAATCGATGATGAACAATCACGTATTGTCAGGCGTGATCTTGATATCAATTACTTTAATACAATCACCGCTGTGTTTAACATGTTACCGTGGTACCGCGTGTGTTACCCGAAATTACAGTAACCTTCTTTAATCCCACTAATTACTCACAATGGACATGTCAGAGTGGAAGTTGGGAATAGCAAGGAACAGATCAGTCCAGAACTTCATACAGAGATTACCCTCGCTTATACTGCTGTTGTAGGCTGCTGATAACTTGCTTACTATGAAACCTGTGGTAAACAATATTTAGTTAGTTACTGCCTTTACTTCAGGAGGGTTTAAACTTTTTAACATGTTTATAAATAACTAGTGTAACCCGGCCTACGGCCGGGATTTCACTGCCGCAGTTAAAAAGGGTAGGAGTAATTACCCGCTGAGTCAAAACCCGGATTAGGCGAGCAATTCTATTCGGAGTGCCCTCACGTATCCAATAGTATGCTTAAAAGATAGTTATTCTTAATCAATAATCAATAGAATTTAACCCTTAACACCATGCACCACACCAGCCTATCATATTTGTGAACATGCATTACATTGTCGTATGAAAGTATGAACTCTCTCTACAGTCCAAACAGACCGTTTGAGCACTCCCTCCCCTAATAAGTTTATAGTATTATATAACCATGTAATATATACGCCATGTAATATATACGCCATGTAGTATATATACGCTACATATGCAGAGAGAGAGAGAGCTAGCCCCGTAACTCTTATCTTGCCGTTCTTCTCAAGCCATTTTATGTAACATATTTTGTGGTACAAAACCATCAATTAATAGTACAGACAAATCCGTCTGAAAAAATCTATCTGCTGACACACGAAGCTTTCAGAGGATTTTTGACGTTTTTGAATCCTAATAGGTGCCCTCTATGGCTGACCAACTTTTCCAAACTTTTCCACGTGTCTTAAGGCCACTTTTTGCCACTTTACCACTTTTTACCACCTTTCTTGTTTGTCGAATATCTTTAGTTGTGAACATCTTAAAAGGTTGTGGATCAATTGAGTGTGTTCATATTACTATGAAGAAAAACTTTTGTTCTAACAATTTTTACGTCAGAGAATCATTTAATTGGATAATTATCAATTAGCTAATTAGCAAAATTCTAAAAAATTTTTATTGGCTCAAAATGATCGGAATAGCTTAAAACACGGAGAAAAGTAGTTTTTAGAAAAACTTTGAAAATTGTTCACTTACATTTTTTTTCGAGACTTGGAAAAATTTCGAAAATTCAAAATATTTTTTTCCGCCAAAAGTGATCAAATTGCATGAAACGCGGAGAAAAATGCTTTTCAAAAATAACTTAGTGAATTTTTCGTTTCAAGAATACTTAAATCACCAATATTTGTAGTTGGAGTTCAGTAAATCGCGGCAGATTTTAGTAATCAGGAATTACTAAGTGGAAATGTCTGAAACTGAAAAACGTTAACCATACGATATAAGAGTTTCATAACTAATTACAATACAGCCTTATCGATTTTCACAGAAACTGCACCAATGGTACAGTCAAGATCGAAAGACGAAACGATAGCCTGCTGTACTATCATTTTATTGATTTCAATGATGAATCAGTGTGGTTAAGATAATCACATTTGTAATAAATAAAACCTCTCTGTACCGTCAATTGTGCTAATCTAAACCGGCCTACCTGGATTACCAGACCTCTTCTTTTCCTCAACAATCAAACCAAGTTGTTCATATCGCATTTGGTGGGCGATGTAAGCTGTATTCAATCACAGTACGACACAATACGTGTATATTATATGGCTCTTAATGAGGTTTATGAAACGCTTAATACCGTGAGAAACCCGGTATAGAGACGTTTTACAGTTAATCACGAAAAAGTATACTGGCCTCATGGCTCATTTACAGTTCGAAGAAGGCAAGAACAGACCGGGGAAACTAAGGAACAGCCAGGTGCAGGAAGCAAGTGTAAATACTCCTTCCGACATCTACTGTGACTTGTTTTGTATTGTACTGCATACCGCTTCATTTGCTATGCGGGATAAAATCACCCCCATATGTCAGGGTCGGCTAAAAGTAAAATCAACAAGGGTAACGTACGGGCAAGGATAAGATTTAGATACGAGCGTGGGGCAAGGGGTGGTACTGGTAAAGAACCGGTAATAATTCATTCAGTGAAATGTTCCAAGAGAGTCAGGATATTTTGGAAATTGCTAATAGAGACAGATCCTGATCAGGAAGGATTGTTAATGTTATTGAGGATGTTGATTTGAAATCCGGACGTTGTGAAGTAAAAATACAGGTTCTTTCCGCACGATATTCGGGGCCCATGATGATCAGCTCGGGATTAATGTGGGACAGATCGAAGAGCATTGAAAAGAGCGAGTTGACATTTTAAGCTTTCTGGTCTTTTCTTGCCTTCTTTGAGCTGTCAAAGAGTCATGAGGCCAAGTAGACGTTTTCGTGATAAACTGTAAAACCTCTCCATACCGGGCCTCTCACGGGAGAAACGAGAAGTGTACGGTATAGAATGTTTCATATACCTCATTAACTTTAAGGGCCATAATATAATATACACGTATTGCATTGTGTCGTATTGTGATTGAATACAACTCGATATGTACTAACATCGCCCACCAAATGCGATATGAACAACTTGGTTTGATTGTTGAGGAAAAGAAGAGGTCTGGTAATCCAGGTAGGCCGGTTTAGATTAGCACAATTGACGGTACAGAGAGGTTTTATTTATTACAAATGTGATTATCTTAACCACACTGATTCATCATTGAAATCAATAAAATGATAGTACAGCAGGCTATCGTTTCGTCTTTCGATCTTGACTGTACCATTGGTGCAGTTTCTGTGAAAATCGATAAGGCTGTATTGTAATTAGTTATGAAACTCTTATATCGTATGGTTAACGTTTTTCAGTTTCAGACATTTCCACTTAGTAATTCCTGATTACTAAAATCTGCCGCGATTTACTGAACTCCAACTACAAATATTGGTGATTTAAGTATTCTTGAAACGAAAAATTCACTAAGTTATTTTTGAAAAGCATTTTTCTCCGCGTTTCATGCAATTTGATCACTTTTGGCGGAAAAAAATATTTTGAATTTTCGAAATTTTTCCAAGTCTCGAAAAAAATGTAAGTGAAAAATTTTCAAAGTTTTTCTAAAAACTACTTTTCTCCGTGTTTTAAGCTATTCCGATCATTTTGAGCCAATAAAAATTTTTTAGAATTTTGCTAATTAGCTAATTGATAATTATCCAATTAAATGATTCTCTGACGTAAAAATTGTTAGAACAAAAGTTTTTCTTCATAGTAATATGAACACACTCAATTGATCCACAACCTTTTAAGATGTTCACAACTAAAGATATTCGACAAACAAGAAAGGTGGTAAAAAGTGGTAAAGTGGCAAAAAGTGGCCTTAAGACACGTGGAAAAGTTTGGAAAAGTTGGTCAGCCATAGAGGGCACCTATTAGGACTCAAAAACGTCAAAAATCCTCTGAAAGCTTCGTGTGTCAGCAGATCGATTTTTTCAGACGGATTTGTCTGTACTATAAACCACTTACCACCGGCCGATTTTTATAAAATTTGCTTATTGGCTTCGTCAGAGTTTTGTCGGCACTATACCGAAAAAACCAGTCCCGTAACTATTACCGTTTTTTTTGTATAACCGTTCGGAAATTACACACAGACACACACACAGACACACACACAGACACACACACATTCTGGTGTTATTAAGTTGATAGGGAAAGAGTAATACGGAATCAATAACTTTTAAACGATAAATAGTAACAGTTAGTGAAGACGTAGGATTATTAACAAACTTTACAGTTAACATTATTTTTTAATATTTAAAAAAACAGTTAACATTTCTAACTGCGCAGTGTCTGACCTAGATAAAAAGTTATTATCACGACAGAAACGTCTTAAGGTATTGAAACAAGTTACTAAAAGTCACTTAAAAGCCGCTTAAAAGTCACTAAAAAGTCACTTAAAAGTTACTTAAAAGTCGCTAAAAAGTCACTAAAAAGTCAATAAAAAGTCACTTAAAAGTTACTTAAAACTTAAAATTCCCTTTACAAGACTGACCACAGAGAGGTTTGCTTGCTCTACCAGTGAAAGCTCCACTGTACTCCGCTTTAGCCACGCTCTGTACCAGAGGTAGGAAGTCAGGCAGGTGGAGTAGCAGGTGTAGACACTTGCTCCTCATTGATATTGTCAGGATGTTACTCAGTACCTGAAATATTGGTCAAATCAAAGGGAATATTTACTCTTTTATTAATTGTTTAGATTTTCAATACAAGTTCGCTGATTTAGTACTAAGTAGTGCTACTTATGTCTAAACTGATTACGAAAACTGGCTGACGATATTCCAAAATGTATCTCTTTTATCATAATTGATAATTGTGCTAAATATAAATTCTAAAACAATTGGTAGCAGTTTAGAGTAGCCATGAAGCAGTTAAAACCTGTAAAAGAGCCCTGTAGTGGTATCCGCTGCTCCTCTGCAGCAATAACATTAGCTGAATCCCATCAGCCTGAAGACAACATCTTGTTACTTAAATTATTAGTAGTTGAGAAGTACAGTTGGTAGCTGTAGGAATACTCTCCCTCCAACCTACCCATTCAAAATAGCAATTATCTCCAGGTACTCAGTTAACCCTATTTAGGAATAATAATATCGTACTTAATATAACTTTCAACAGTATCATTCTAACCTGAAAGTCGACAATGGTATGTCCGATAGTAGTTATTGAGAGAGCTACAAATGCTGCCATCTCCCCGTTTGTTCTCAAAGCTTCACACAATGTAGCCACCAAACCCGCCTGAAACACAATGATTTAAATGATGTTGATACAAACAATTTCACAATTTCCCGAAATTAACTTGAAATTAAAACCAGGATATAAGCTAGGAAGAAAGAAGAATATCCTACCTCCTTTCTCATCTTGTAAGGGAACCTGCCCCATTTTCCCACATAACCCCCAACTGCAACCTCCTCATCAGGAGCAGTAGCAGTAGAAGCTACTGAAGACGCAGTGCTCTGTTGTTTCACTAGTTTATTGCGTGAACTAGTGGGCGAACTATCAGAACCTGCTGACACTGCAGCACTTTCACTTCTCTGTTTTCTGTAAGGGAGACGTATTGTTAGGGTCATGTTATCAGGGCAAATCATGGATCATCTCCAACATGTAGATCACCTTATTCTTATTATGGAGCTAAAGATTTGCGGTTTGAACACCTGGGTATTGATTACATTCTGTGCGGTTTATTTTAAATTTAACTTTACAAGATGAGATGATATAACAGTCGTAATATCATCTCATCTTGCGGGGGGGGGGGGGGGGGGGGGGGGGGTACTTTTCTACTAAGTGGTGGGTCTTCTGCTCATTTCCCAGAAAAACAGTTAGTACATGGTACTAAGGGGGGTGTCCAACCCCAAAAAAAACCCATTTTACCTATAATTTCAATTTTGGGAATGGGTTTTGAGGTTTTTTTCCTTTTTTTTGGTTCAGAAAAAAATGTTTTCTTTTTTTGTAACTTTTTATCTAATTTGCCCATTTCCCAATGTTTAATGAGCTGTTTAAAGCAATGTATGGGTGGGTATCTTATTTTTAAATATACCAAGACACAGTTAGCACCGTGATTTCTCAACAGTTAGTACCGCAAAATGGGTGGGTGTCCTAAATATTATCCGAAAAAACAGTTAGTACCGCGAAGGGGGTGGCCGGGTGGGTGGGTCTTTTTTGTAAATTAGTGAACTTAGTCGACGTCACGTACGGCACTTGGTACCTGATCCCCCTCCTCCCCCCCCCCCCCCCCCCCCCCCCCCGCATCTTGAGCAGTATAAGTATCCCATAATTTCCCTCTTCACACAACAGTACCTATCAGTAATACAGTAATATAATAATGTATATTACCAGTTTCAATAAAGTACTGATCTTTTAATCTTGTAAACCACGGATATTGTCTCACCTTAGCTGTCTCTGCTGCTGTTTGTTGATTTTGAGAGTTAAACCATCGTGCTCAGAGAGATCAGTCTTGTGTAAACACAAAGTCAGTAATATCTCCCAACACCAACACACAAACTGGTTCTGAGGTGGGAGTGGTTGAGGGGGCTGGGGGGGGGGGGGGTCTTCTTAAGGTTACAACTTGTAACTTACAAGTTAATTAAGAAATAAGTATATTAATTATAATAGAATCCGCCAAATTTTAGGTATGATTATGTTGTGGCTCACACGAGGCTAACACGTGGCTCACACGTGGCTCACACGTGGCATTATCTACAGGCAGAGAAAGTTTACACAATATTATGTTCTAACGTGTCTACATTCTACACATCAGCAAAATAAAAATGTAGACACAATTTAAACCTGTGATGCAGTGTTTTGAGGGTAACACAATTCGGTAAGTGTAGATCTAGAACAGACATGGATAAAATTAAAATATCTTCAAATTGCTATCTCAACCTAAGCACTGACCTTATCTGAGTTGCTGACATGTTTAGCAAAGTCAGGTGAAGATGAGTGGATCAGATAACCAGGTCTATCTGGGAGGTGATAAGAATGAGCAGCAACAATGTCTACTGCCATCTTTCTGTGATATTCACACGGTAGGAACAGCTTGTTCTTGTGAGATCCCCAATTCAGCCCTGGTCATTTAAAACGATTAAATTAAAATTTTATTTCAATTGAAATGAGAAGGAAATGAAATACAGCATTTGTATCCCGTTTATATCAACAATCAAAATTATAATAAAGATCGAAAACAATTATCTAAATTTTAGGTTAAATAATACAATATAATCTTAGAAGTTAAAGACGATCAAAATTCAGAAAATGTAATATAAAGACTAACCCTTAATTATGACTCTGCTGAGTTGATTGGTCAGTGAAGTTATTGGAGTGGTTTGAAGCCAAGTAACCAGCAAGTTGAAGTCGTCATCTGATGGATGCCAGTTCTGGAGAGACAATCCTCTGAATATTCTCAAGTTGTTGGGAAGATCTTTCAGTGTTTGCTTGTCTATGTTGTTGATGATGACGGAGACGACATCGGGGCAGTGGTCGATAATGGTACTGAGACAGTTCTTACAGGCATGGTCCGTGGATTGTTTGTCTACAGTTGATGTGACTCCGATGTGATAGATATCTAACGCAATTACTTTTACAAAGTTGTCATCAATTTCTCTGCTGAGTGCCATTTTGCAAAATACGTTAACCATGAAAGTACAATCTTCATCAGACAAGGACTCCAATCTCCGTTGAAATCTGGCTGTTTTGTAAAGTTTTGTAACTATTTCATAGGGTGACCCTTCCCTCAAAACTGAACTTTTAATGTGCTTTTCAGGATTAACTTGGTGTAGAAACCCAAATAGCTTCCAAAGAACTTTGATCGAGATTCGATGGTAAGGAAGGTCTGTCAAAAACTGCCATAAGCTGACATTACTGGTTTCAGCCAAGCAGCGAAATCCTTCTTCGATAACATGATTGTGAACATTGAGCAGTTTGCTATGGTCCACAGCATCAGCAATGGGCCATACTCCACCATAAAAGTCATAAAAATGATAATAGTCTGAAACAAATCTCATAAATGTCGTCATTATGTTAGCATTTCTCTGGCAAAAGTTCCGGTATCTTGTAAAGTCGAGATGAGTAAAGGCTTCCCTGATATGTGCTATGCACTGAAGACACATACTGAACAGAGTCATCATTTCTTGCTCATTGATGCTGTGTTTGTTCTTGAAAAATTCTTCAGGTGTAGGATACTTGAGCAGTTCTCTGTAAAACATTCCAAAGTTAAACTGTCCAAGCAGCTCAAGGTAGTCACGTTCTAAAAGCTGTTTGCCATCACAGTCGACCTCACCAAGTTCATCAAGTATTGCCCACTCAGAAGGATCACTGTCTTGAACGGGGGGCTCATAGTTTGCAAGCATTTTGTCTCTTTCTTCCAGAGGAAACAGTAATGTCAAATACATCAAGAAAAAATGATCTACAATTGGGTTTCCAATGGTGCTTTCAACAGAGTAAGTGCTTTCAGCCCAAGCAAACTGCAAGAAATGACCTCCCCAAAATGAAAAACCAGTGGGACACCGCAATAAATGATTCAATAGGAATCTGTGATCTAATAAAGTTGCCACCCTCAACAGCATGCTAACTAGGATATTCAACCATCTATCAATATCTTTTGCAAATACTTCATCTGGCATCTTCTGGCGCTTGAAGTGGAAGAGAATCGAAATGCAAGTTCTTATTTGACCAGTATGACTGACATGATCCCAGGGAATTGATACACCTGGGATATAGGATGTGACATAATTCGAGTATGGAGGTGGGCAGGATTCAACAAGTCTAACCATGAACTGTTCAACATGATAGAATGCTATCTTCCAATTATATTGCAAAAGTGCTAAAGGAACGCTACAGCTCTCATGGATGTTCACAAGACTGTCCTCAATGTCTTTCAATGTTTCTGGGTGGCAAATAGCTTTATTCCAAGTCTCTGTAAATGTAACTTTCATGTGATCTGCACAGTACCCTGTCTCAACCTTCTTTTCCTTCACAAATGCCCAGACAGTTTCACTTGACTTGTTATACCTTAAAATGTTATTTTCAATAACTGCACTGTGAGCTAAAAAATTCTGCCTACCTTTTTGATATCTACTTAGGAGATGATGGAGCTCATGACTGGGGTTTTCGCACATAGCAATAAAGTCAATAATGAATTCTTCATTTTTGGCTAATTGAGGATTATGATAATACGACTTTAGTTCGTTTATCAGGATTTCTTTATTTAATTCCTCAAATGTTGGCATTGATGGTGAAGGTGATACACACTTTGATTGATAGCAACTTTGTAATTTCTGTTCATATTGATCATCATATACTAAAGTTTGCAATGAAAGGTGATGCAGAGTTTGGTTGTCACTAACTAGGCTCACATTGTCTATACATGCTTCATTATTGATGACATCAACAACCTCAAAAGACCGTAGATCCGAATCATAAGCTACATCATCAATAGCTGATGGAGCAATGTTATCTAGCTGAGCTTCTGCATTTTGCATAGAAAGAGTATCTAAATCATCTTTTATGCTGTTATGACAAGACTGCTGTGATACTGATCTATTGCGCATAAGTGAAATGTTCTGTAGACTCTCGTAAAATTCATCATCAAGACTTGGATAGAGCTGCTCAATTTCAGGGCTACATTCCACATTATCCACAGTGCTTTCTTGATTTGAAGGTTCAATATTTGATGTTGGCAATTCATCATTTACCTCTGCAGTATCACAGGAGGTTTCTCGATTAATATACTTGGCTGATCCCTCATCATTCTCTTCTAAATGGCAATCAAATACATTAAGTTGGCTTCTTGTGAGAAAGCTTTCACTTTTAATAGAGTCAACATCAAGATTATTAAGAGGTGTATCACAGGCCAGAATGACATCTTCAACTAAAATTGTAGCATCAATGTCAACCTCTGGATAATCATCATCTAAACTCTCGCATTCAATTTCTTCAGCAGTAATATCATCTTCTGGACTAATTAAGTCCTCAGATGCTACATCCTCAGCTAATAATTCTTCTTTTAAGTTTCCAATGTCATTTACAACCTTTTCTGTCTCAAGATAATCAACTGAAGTACTTGGTTCATCCTCAGCGACATCTTGTTTAACCCTTTTCTTTTTATTCTTTGACTTTTTTGGTTTAGGTTGAGGAGCTTCCATACAGATCCAGATGTATCATCATAATATGGCCCTACATTGTCATAATTGTAGCAACATGTTCCCTGTAAGATTTCACAAAATGAGAGCTACATTAATTATTCCATTTTCAAATTTGCTAATGAGGGGTTCTGAAATAAAATTTGCAATATTTTTCTAAAATGTTTTGAAATTTGCAAGTTTCTGATCCTGATTCCCAGATTCGCACCTCTTGGGACTCCTTTGGCCCAAAAAGCGATCCAAACCAAGACCCTACTATACACAATAACTGAAAAAATTGGGGATTTTTGAATTACGTTCCTTGAATTTTTAGCCCCAAAATGCCCAAAAATTCAAAATTCCTTACACAAGCCACAAAACCAGTATTGAGGTGATTTACTTGTAGCTGAAGGCTCCCAGAAATTGTATTTTAAATTTCATCAAGATTGAATAAAAGATGGCAGAGTTATAACAAAAATATGGGGCTTATTTGGGCATGAGCCCCAAACAACATAGTTTACAAATTGGTACAAAATCGGTATTTTTAAAAATGCCCTAAAACGCCCCTAATGATTTTTCTTGTATCTTGTAGGGAATCCTCTAAGCTTTCAGATGGTACTATGGAATAAAGCGGCAAAGGCTAGAAGGCAAAAATTTCCCTACAAATGGAACCAAAACTCAGGCTCATGTCAAAAATCAGCTAAATTAGATAATAACTAATAAGGCTATCTAGTTTGAGAGTTGTTTGGAGATATAATAAAAGGAGTCAATTTACTTTATATTTACTTAAGGAAGTTCAGACATAGAGTAAGAGCTTTTTTCACTGCCAAAAAGCAAAATAATTGGTTTGGGAAAAATTGCAAATTTAACGAAGGGCATGCTGACCCCAGTGGCGTAACTTAGGGCCCCGCAGACCCCGCTGTGCGGGGGGGGGGGGGGGGGGGGGCGCCGTATAAGGGGGGCGCAATTTTCCTAAATTTTAGGCCCTTTCACTGAAAAAAACGCCTTGTTTGTGTATTTCCCTGTCAAATTTAGCGTTAGGTCGACGCGAAAAAAATATTTGGGGTACCCTTTTTTGCTTCAGGGGGCGCAAAAAGCCTTAGGGGGGGGCGAGAAAAAAAGTACCCAACCTTTTTTTTTTTTTTTTTTAATTTTTTTAGTAGTCTGAGACGAAACGGAATCTCGTTAGCTTTTCGTGTTAAAAGCGATTTCTCAACGGTTATCACCTCTCAAGATGATTCTTAAAACATTTGGCCACTATTGCATTTTTGAAATAAATGCAATAGTGGCGTTTTCGGCCACACCCTTTTTCAGGGTTTCGCGGTCACTCGAATTTGTGTATTTCAGTCCAGGAAGGTCTTAAAGACTATTCCGATACACCAAAATGTGCCTAATAGACACATTTATATACAACTTATGAAGCAACATATACCTTAAAATGCTTCGTTTCGGAAATATGGTCGAAAAACGGTTTTTGGATTGACGCAGTCCATAATTTCCATGATTTTTGGCATTCCCGCCTAGGAAGGTCGTAGAGACTATTCTGATACACTAAAATGTACATAATGGCCACATTTATATACAACTTATGAAGCAACATATACCCTAAAAGGCTTATTTTCCGAAATGTGGCTGAAAAACGGATTTTTGCCGAGCGAACAATGACAATATTCACAAATGGGCTATTGGAATGTTAACTAGAACGGTCTTAAAGACTCATGAGCAACATAGCATTTGTCACAAGATGTAAGATGAGTCACTTTGTATCCAGAAACACCTACAAAAATTGGAGAATGATCTACTTTATTGGGCATCTCTCTTAATTAAATGGGCCAGGCCAGCAGCATATTTGTGTCTTACGAAAGGGCGATTTTTCAATTACGGTTTCTTTAGTAAAGGTCAATGGGTCAGTTGCTAACAGTAAATTGTTCGCAATTGCCGACTCATGCACCTCATATAATCAAAAACGCTCACTTTAGGAGTGATTAGTAAATAAGTTTAACTACTGCATGATTTGTGAAAACTCCAACAATTTTTTATTGACACCAATTTAGCCAAAATGTAATGACCAAAATTCAACTTTCTATTTATTCATGCCATGAAACTTAACCATGATATGTGTTAAGAATACCGGACCTAAAATAATTCGGCACTGTTTCCGGGCCAGATTGTTGCTTGACCACTGACCAGTACTTCAGAATGACCCCATATCCTTTTTTTCAGTCGCATAGATTTTCCCATCGTATGATAATGCGTGTCATTAACTGGCTAGTTCTTCTGTTATTACAGCAGTGAGCTGCCTCGAGATCTTATCTGGGGCATTGGCAAAAATACTAGAACATTAGAACTGTAATTCTAGAACCTCAAATAAAGGTTACTTGGCAGAATAGCATTATCAGGGTTCGAGATTTGACTGAGGGCATTCAGGTAACATACCAGGTTCATATCACCAGTTGAGGTGAATCTTAATTTCGGCATGCAATGCCTTATAACTATAAGTTATAAGATTATAGTAGGATCACGGGGTTTATATAATAGAAGGTCTCGAGATGCTGATTTGGCTATTTAGGTTTTACATGTGAAATTTTTCCAGCTGTGGGTAAAGTGGATTTTAGAGCGGGGAGGGGGTCTTAATGACCAAAATCTGAACGATCTCTTACTTACGGGACACTTTGATTAAGCATGATCCTTGTCTAGTTGGAATTTTCGCATATCATGCAGTAGTTATCTACTAATCACTCCTAAACTGAGCGTTTTAGAGTCGAATCTCGAACCCTGCCAGGCCATGCGGCCAAGTAATTTTAATCTGAAGTTCTTGAATTATAGTTCTAATGTTCTAGTACTAATGTATTAGTGCCCTAGATAAGATCTCGAGGCAGCTGTAATAACAAAAGAGCTAGCCAGTAACCACTTGATTAAAAACGAGGAAATGACACACATTATCATACGATGGTAAAATCTATGCGAACCAAACCACTGCGGTATTATTGAACTGCGGCCAACAGATCTCAAACCAAGGATTACAGACCAATATTGGTCGAGACAGCAAAATCAATCATAATTTCAAAGTGGCGTACTGGTCAGCGGTCAAGCAACAATCTGGACCGGATCCAGTGCCGATTTATTTTAGGTCCGGTATAGTATTCTTGGTACATATATCATGGCATAAATAGATAAAAAGTTTGAAGTTGAATTTTGGTCTGGCACATATTATATTTAAAAATTAAATTGGTGCCAAGGAAAAATTGTTGGAGTTTTCACAAATCATGTAGTAGTTATTTACTAATGACTCCTAAAGTGAGCGTTTTTGAGTACATGAGGTGCATGAGTCGCCAATTGCGACCAATTCTCTGTTAGCTGCCGACCCTTTGACCTTAAGAAACCGTAATTTTGAAAAATCGCCCTTTCGTAAGACTCAAATATGCTGCTGGCCTGGCCCATTAAGAGAGTTGCCCAATAAAGTAGATCATTCTCCATTTTTTGTAGGTTTTTTAGGAGTTTTAAACTAATTACAACACTGCAAATCTATTACATTTATTGAGGTATGAGATATGATAGACGAGCGTAAGTGTTGACGTGCAAAGGACTGCTGTGAGTGTACTTGAAGATTACTCATCCTCCTCCTTCTCATCAAAACTATTCTCATCAAAACTACTATCTGGACTGAAGGTATTGCGTTTACAGTGTTTATTGTGCTTCTGAACATTGAACTCTTGATAATATAACTATGTCAAATAATCAGAGCTCAGACATTAGTCTCCACTCTTGTGAGCGCCCTTTAGAACATTTGAACTTTTCATTCCAGTCTGAAAAATCAGAGAACTGTAACAATTGTCTGTCAAAAGACATCAAGATTGACTTTTTAGAAAAAAAGTTGTCCTTATTGAATGAAATTATCAGAACTAGTGATCTCATTGCTCAGTACAATGATAGTCTCATATCAGATCAAACTCAAATACAGGAACAGAGTTTTAAGTGTGAAAATTTGCTGCCAAACTTATCAGAGGAGATTGAATGTGAGATCATAACCATTACCCCTCAGTCACACGTTGTTATCAATCAAGTAGAAGCGTTTGATGTAGATGACATTGTTGTGGAAGATGTTGTATCGGACAGTTTGTTTGTTGACAACGATGTCGTGGACAAGGATGTTCCACAGGAGGTTGTTGGAAACGAGATTGTTATCAGTGAGATTGTTGTTCACGAGGTTATGGCAGACGAGGATGATGTGTCTGATCTCCCTGTATCTACTGCTAATGGTGAATCACGGATCAACACCCCTAAGCCCAGAGACAAATATCCAAACTTGGTCCCTGTCCCTGTCTACGATCCTATAACACCGGGGCCAATGAATATATCTGTAACTTGCTCCCCATCACCAGTGGAACCAGTTACCCTACTAGATGATGGTCCATTCTCTAAATTTTCACTTGATCTATTAATGGAAGAACTTGAGTTCAGTCACGGTTTTAAAAACAGGAAATCGGTTTATTTTGGTGACTTTCCCTATGAGTATTCAGGTGCAACACATGACCCAAAAAGTGTACACAATGATTCCTACCTTGCTAAACTCAGCTCCTACATTAATGTGATATTACCCAATTTCAGACACAATAGTATTCTCGTCAATCTATATGAAACTGGAGCAGAGTTCATGCCAGCTCATAGCGATTCTGAATCATGTATTGTAGAACACTCTGATATTGTAACCATTTCACTTGGTGCGACGAGAACACTGCAAATTAGATCAAACGGCAGCAATGAAGTTGTGGGCTCTGTGCAGCTTCAGCATGGAGATGTCTTCATCATGTCCAAATTGTCTCAGGCTGACTTTCAACATGAGATACTGCCAGACGAAATGTGTGATGAACCCCGGATCAGCATCACCCTAAGACTGATGAAGCCCCCTAGGATCACTCAGTCAACTGAGTTTGGTCTGCGTTCACCGCCCCCACCCATCCCTCATTCAGGACACAAACTGACAGACTCTTCTTCACCTGCACTCTCAGTTTGCAAACAGTCAGCTAAAGCTTCACAAAAGTCTGTCCTATTCATAAGCAGCTCTATGTTCAGGTTTCTTGATGCGGA